TTTTTGAGAAAAAAATGTAGTTTAATGTAGCCCAAGCTGGCTTTGAATCCAAGAGCTGGTGTTACAGATGTGTGCATTCAAGCCGGCTTCCTAGGGCTGTTTGGAAAGGGCATTTGGGACGCCCTGAGGGTGAATGGCTGAGCAGGGCTGCTCTCCTTTGTCTTCCTATCTGCACTGTTAGACCTGTTCACCCTCTGCATCACCCACCAGCTTTTCCAGAGCCGGGGTCTGCAGCTCCGTTCTGGCCTGCGAGGCAGTGATGGGATGTATATGTAGCTGGTCTGGCTGCATGATGCTGATGGCGTCAGGCCTGAGTAGGGATGAGCCATGGGGTGCTGCCTCCTGATCCCAATAACGGCCAGCTCACCAAGACCTCGGAATGGGGGGCCGGGAGAGGGGCCCGCTGGGTTCCGGCTGTCAAGGGGTGGGAGCCAGATCCAGGGGAGGCCCTCGGGTCGCCCTGTGCCAGGCTTCCTTGACCGCAGGGCCACAGCTGGCCGTGCAGACCAAGCGCGTGGCCGGGCAGGTGGACGGCGGCGCGCAGGTGCAGCAGGTGCTGAACATCGAGTGTCTCCGGGACTTTCTGACGCCGCCGCTGCTGTCAGTGCGCTTCCGGTGAGTGGAGGGAGGCGGTGCCGCCGGGGGAGGGGCCTGCGGGGGGGCTGACAGCTGCCCTCGCCCGTCCCGTCCAGGTACGGCGGCGCCCCTCAGTCCCTCACCCTGAAGCTCCCGGTGACCATCAACAAGTTTTTCCAGCCCACGGAGATGGCAGCCCAGGACTTCTTCCAGCGCTGGAAGCAGCTGAGCCTGTGAGGGGCGGGGCCATGGCGGGTGGTGCCATGGCTGGGCGAGGGCCCCCAGGGCCTGACTGCTCTTTCCTCCCCTCCAGCCCACTGCAGGAGGCACAGAAAATCTTCAAAGCCAATCACCCGATGGATGCTGAGGTTACCAAAGCCAAGGTAAAGCTGGGTGCTTGCCGGGTACTGGCGGGTGACTGGCTTGGTTCCTCCCAAGGGTTTGGGACTTGAGATATGCTAGGGAGCTCCACAGCCAGCCTCTCCGGTATCTACCCCCACTCTGTAGCTTCTGGGGTTTGGCTCTGCGCTCCTGGACAATGTGGACCCCAACCCTGAGAATTTCGTGGGTGCTGGAATCATCCAGACGAAAGCCCTGCAGGTGGGGTGCCTGCTCCGGCTGGAACCCAACGCCCAGGCCCAGGTGTGTGCCGAGGGAGGCCCTTCCCCGTGACCGGTCTTCTCTGTGCCTCCTCCCTCTCATCCTTGTTTGTCTTGCATTCTGCACATCCCTCACTCTCTGACGCCGTCCCTCCTCCCTGGTTCTCACATGGACCCTGTCTCCCCAGATGTACCGCCTGACCCTGCGCACCAGCAAAGAGCCTGTCTCCCGTCACCTGTGTGAGCTGCTGGCCCAGCAGTTCTGAGCCCTGGACCTGCCCTGGGATGTGGCTGGTGCCAGGCAGCTCTGGGATGGAGGGGGTTGTGTGGATGGGGCAGTGAAGGGACCTCCATTGGTGACAGTGGACACCCCAGGGTGGGAGCATGCCTGGGAGCTTCCTCTGGCCTTTTGTATTTTTATTTTTGTTCATCTGCTGCTGTTTACATTCTGGGGGGTCAGGGGGAGCCCCCTCCTTCCCTTCCCCCAAAGCACAGAGGGGAGAGGGGCAGGGAAGTGGGTGCCTCCTCCCCTCCCACCCTACCCGTGTCGCCCTTCCTCCCTTCCCCATCCAGGGGCCGTGTATTATTGTGAGCGAATAAACAGAGAGACGCTACTTTGGCCCCATCTCTTGGCTGCCCACCCCTAGGTGATCAAAGGAGTGGGGTGAGGGCTTGCAGAGTGTGAGTGGCCAGGCTTCGCAGTCCATGAGTGGGGCTCTGAGGGGACAGCAGCAGCAGCAGCAGCCGTAGCCCCAGCTGCAGAGCCACCAGCTGCCACCCCATGCCTGGCCCCAGCACGAGGTAGCAAGCTCTGGGCACCTGGGCAGGGTGGGCTGCATCTTCCTTCTCTGCAGGCCCTGGCTCTGGGGAAAGGACAGGGAGGGCTGCCATGACCAGCGTGGCCAATGGGGCCAGAGCTCTAAAACCAGTGGGGTTCCTGCACCTCCCAGCTCAGTCTCTCCCTGCCCAGCTCTGGTCTTTGTTCCCTGGGATCTTCTGGAGGACCTAAACAATCCCAACGTGCAGGTGGCCAGCACTGGCCTATCACCCTCTTAAGGGCCACATCCTTCTCCCCAGGGCACACTTCCACCAGTGTGCACACCTGTGGAGTCTTCATTGGCTGGGCACCACCAGGTCCCTGTATGTTTCTCGGGGCCTGGGACAACTGCCCAGTGCAGTTTGCAGGATCCTCACCCCCCTCAGCTTGAGGAAAGCTCTGCTCAGCACTAAGGAGGGTGTGAAAGGAGCAGCTCTAAGCCCTGCTCTGCACTGAGGTTAACACTAGTAGTCCTGGCCTAGGAAGTGGAGCAGGCCTGTGATGGTCCTGCCTCAGAGTACTGATGAAGTACAGGTGTGGGCCAGAATGCCCAGTCCGGGACCAGTCCTGACGCGTAAAAGCACTGGCTAGGGGGGATACCCAGAGTTAATTAGTAAGATGGGCAGGGGCAACCTTTCCTCGCTTGGCGCCTGCCATGATGCTCAGCCCTGGGAAACATGCTGGGTTCTTTATGTCTGTGCATCCACACTATGTGGACCTTGCACCTGCTGCTGACCTGGTGGGAAGTGCGTGGTGGTCACCAGCGTGTAGAAGTTGCGGAGGAGGCGCCGGCGCTGCTCCGGAGAAGGCTCTAGAGGACAGAAGGTTGACCGGGCCCACCCCGGCCCAACCCCACCCTCCCGCCCACCGCTTCCCCGCGCACCTTTATCCCGCAAGGGCTCCACGGTGAAGACGCAGCGTTTCAGCTCGAGGTGCAGCAGGAGCAGGCTGGGGAAAGGAGCGTCAGGCCGGGTCGGAGGACCCGGGGCCGCCAGCCCGCTGTCCACCAGCCCTACCCGAGGATGTCGCCGTGCAGGGGGAAGCCATCGGGTAGCGCCCGCGCACCCAGTGCCAGGCAGGTCCGCAGCGGGTCCAGCAGCGGCTGCCACCAGCGCTCCAGCAGCTGTGGGCGCGTGGCAAACGCGGGGGCGTCACTAAGGGCGTGGCCTGGAGCCGGGCGAGGGCGACCGGAGTAAACCCGGAGGGGCTGGGGCCACGTGGTGGCGGGTCCTGGGGGGACACGGTGCAACAGGCCCGCCTCACCTGCGGTTCCAGCTGGCTGAGCGGCGGGCGGGGCCCACAGAGAAGACACAGCTCCAGGCGGGGCAGCAGCGTTAGCGTCAGCAGCCGGTGCGGCACCTGCGTCCGCATAGGGTGGGGGTGCGGTGAACACTGCCCCGCCAGCCCCGCCAGCCCCGCCCCGCAGGCCCTGCCCTGCCCCGCCCCTCACCGTGGGGCTCCCGTGCGGCAGGTACACCGGGTAGTCGCGAGCGGCCTGTGGCGGCAGGGACCCCACCAGCCAGGGGAGCAGCACGGCCTCGGGCATGCCCAGCCTCCACCAGCCATCTGTCGCGGCCACCACGCGGCCTGACACCAACAAGCTAACGAAGGCTGTGCCTGTGGCCTCCGCGAACCCGGAGAGGGTGTCCTGGTGAGGGGTCAGGGGACAAGGGGCTAGAGCAGGGTCTCCCCAGGTGGGCTCAGAAAGAAGGAGTCACCACGAGATCCAGGGATATTCCAGCATGCTGGGCTGCCAAGCTCGGGTGTCACACCCTCTCTGAACGTGAATGCTTTCACCTTCACTTTCAGCCACCATCCTGAGCATGCCTTAGATGGAACCCAGGGCCGTGATCATAAGAGCTAGCAGGGGCTCCACTGCTGAGCCACACCCCAGCCTTGTATACATTTTTTTATCTTGAGTTAGGGTTTCACTAAGTTGCCCAGGCTAGCCTTATTCCAATCCTCTTCCTCAGCCTCCAGAGTAGCTGGGATAACAGGCTTGAGCCAAGAGGCCCTGCAAGAGGTAATAATTTTAACAGCATCATCTACAATTCCATTCCTGTTATGTGACAAGAAGGTGTGATCACTGACATCCGGGAGCTCAGAGAAGTCAAACCACAGTGCTGGGCGCCACAGAGCCTTAGGAGGAGAGGGGCAGTCAATTTGTCCAGAAAGGGAGAACTCCCCACAACACTGGGCTGGCCCTGGAGGTGGGTGGGAAAGGGGTTTGTGGATGTCATCCACAGCTTGGCCAGCACTAAAGGACACAGGCCCGTGAGACAGCAGGCAGAGAGCTGGGAGCTTGTCCTAAAAGAAGTGGAATCACAGGAACTTGATTCCAGAGGACAAGAGCATGCTAGGACCACAGAGACAATCTTACCCCTGTAGCTGCCCCAGTACCTGCAAGAGGGAGCCCTCTGGAGGAATGACACAATCCACACACTGGGTCAGGTCCCCGATGAGCTCCGAGTTCCCCAGGAAGCTGTCGATGAGACCGTAAGTGGCCTGGTAGAGGGGATAAAGGGATCATCTAGGACCCAGGTGGACCCCAGATCAATCCAAAGCTGGGACCAGCTCCAGGGTTGGACCACCAAGTTCCCGAAGAACCCATGAGGTGCCACTGTCCCAGGGGCTGCTGGGACTTGTAGTTCCCTAACAGGCAGCAATTAGGGACCCTAACTGCCCACCTTTATGTCCCAACACCTCACCCTTAGTTCTTTCTTCAGTCTCTCCACGTTCCGGATATTGGTCAGCTCCTCGAGTCCCACCACGAGTACCTAGAAGTTGCAGAGAACAATGGAGACCCTTGATGGGTTCTAGTTGACGGCAGGACAGGACCTAAAGGACTGGTTATGAGATGGTGGCTCAGGCCCGCGCCCATGGGTCAGAGAAGACTGGAGTCTCCTGAGTCTGGGGAAAGAGTAGTGATGGGGTCCGGAGCCCCAGGTCTGAGAAGGACGTGAGGTCTGGACTGAGGGAGGAGGGACACTGAGAGCCTAGATCTCAGAGTTTGGGAGAAAAGGGGGCTGAGTCTCACCATGGCGCCAAACACCATGTGGAGCATTCTCTCCAGCCTCAGCTCCGAGGTGCCCGCCTCAGATGACAGAGCAATGAGAGTAACACTGTGGGGATGGAAGATGAGACCGGAGGATGAGGCCAGGCCTGGGAAATGGGGCACTGGGGTGCAGCAGGGACTTTCCTAGACGGCTGGCTGCATCCTCAGAAAACCAGGGATCTGAGAGAGGGGGTAAAGGTTGGCAAAGATCCCACAAGCCAAGTTACAGCTGACCAGGTCATCTTCCCCGGGGTGGGGACCACTGCCCGGGCCCTGTCCATTGCTCCTGCCAACAACACACCTGTCATGGAAGCTCTTCCACACCACCGTCGTGTCCTCTGTCCGCGCAGACTTGAGTTGCACATCCAGATTCTGGCCGAACATGTGGACTCCATTGAGGGAGCCGATGACAGAGAAAGGGAGCTGAGGGGAGGTGGAGGGCATTACACCTACCTCCTCAGTGAGACCTGGGGGTCCCACCTTGAAGCCCTTCCCTCCCATGCCCGCCCCCCTTTCTGGAGCCTGGCCTATTGCCGTCCCCCCCATATGCTCAAAGTCCCCAGCCCTGGGCTGCAAAGCATGCCAAGTGCACCCCAACCCCTCCTTGTTTAGGTCCAGGCGTCCACCTGTTGACGGGTCGGGGCGCCACCGCGGCTGCTCCTGCAGAACAGGGGGACTCCGCTGGAGGCTGCCAGGCACAGCAGATGCACGGTGCCCCCTGGTCCCTCCTCCCCCATCTGGAAGCCCGCACCCCAGAAAGTCACCCCCCTGGGGACTCAGTGCGGGTCTGGGAGCATGCAGGTAGTCACAGGAAGTCGGCTTCCGGTTTGAAACCCGCAGAGAGCGAGATGCAAGATGACCAAATTCCCGCCTTCATACCAACTCTGCCCCTCCAACCCAATTAAGTTTTCTTCCTCTCCAACCGGATGGCCCCATGCCCCTAACAAAGATGGCGACCGCGTCCAAGCGGTACAGTTCCTCTATGTCGTCGTTTGAATTACTTTAGTTTGACGAGGAGAATGAAAAGGCTGACTAGAGGACGGGGATGGTGCCAAAGTGTTGCCTAGCAACGTTCCTGTAAGATGTCGTAATCTGCATGCTTAATTTTTTAAATAGTTGCTCGAAGATGGCGACGGTGTCAAGGTGTTGCCTAGCAACCCCATTCCGCGGGGCTTTCGATTCCAGACGGTAAATACAGTGCCCCCCTCAAAGATGGCCACAGAATCAGCCGTTGCCTAGCAACCACACTTCAAACTAACTTCTGCTCTAAAACTGGAGTCCTTTCTGCCCTGCTCAAAGATGGCCGTATGCCCAATGGGTCTGTGTCCTTCTTACGCCGAGAACACAATCTCCCTCTCAAATTTTCAAAGTGGTTTGGTCCAGGGAGAGTTGCCTAGTAACCACCTAATGAGCTGGTTGTTTTGTTACTAGAAAAAGAAAAAAAGGGAAAGCCTTTTTTTTTTTTCAGAATCATCAGAAAAGACATTATTTCTATAATGAATTCACTTATGATAGTGTATCTTCGAGAATGTGAAAATATTTACAAATTTGTTTCTTGCAATAAAATAGAATATAATACAGAATAGCATGTTTTCACGGATATGAGTGTTACTAACATTTTCATTCATAGCTTTCCTCATCAAGATTATGCCTAAGCGCGTGCAGGATGGTGGAGTAGGTAATGGCGCTTGCTGAGCAGGACTGACCTGTGAGTTCAAACCCCAGAACCCACACAATGGGAGCGAACCCACTCCACAAAGTTGACCTCTACAGGCATCCCCCCCCAACAATAGTAATACTAAACTTAATAATTTAAATTAAAAATAGTATGTCGGGCCGGGCGTGGTGGTGTACGCCTTTAATCCCAGCACTTGGGAGGCAGAGGCAGGCGGATCTCTGTGAGTTCAAGACCAGCCTGGTCTACATAGTGAGTTCCAGGACAGCTGGGGCTACAGGGAGACTCTGTCTCAAAAAGACCAAAAAAAAAAAAAAATGTATGTCTAGGGGCTGGATAGATGGCTTAGTGGTTAAGAGGACTGGCTTCTCTTTCAGAGGACCTGGGTTCAGTTCCTAGCACCCACATGATGGCTAACAACATCCTTAACTCCAGTTCCAGGGGATCTGACTCCCTCTTTTGGCCTCCACTGGCATTGCACACATGGTGCACTTACATACATGCAGGCAAAGCACTCATACACATAAAATGAAAGTAAATAATAAATACAGAATTGAATCGGGAGAGATGGCTCAATAGTTAAAAGCTGGTCTTGCAGAGGACCAGGGTTCAGTTCCCAGCACCCACATGGTAGCTAACAGCTGTCTATAACTCCAGTTCCAGGGAATCCAATGCCTCCTTCTGACCTCCTTGAGTATTTTGGGCATTGCACAACACAACTGCACTTACATACATGCAGGCAATACACTCATACACATAAAATAAAATTAAAAATAATAGCCAGGGATGGAGAGATGGCTCAGCAGTTAAGAACAGTGTTCTTGCAGAAGACCCAGGTTCAAATCCCAGCATCCACATGGCAGCTAACAACTCTCTGTAACTCCAGTTCCAGGGGATCTGACAGCCTCCTCTGACCTCCGTGGGCATTGCACAACATGGGTGCACTTACTTACATGCGGGCATAACACTCATACACATAAAATAAAAATATTAAAAATACCAGGTGCGGTGGTGCACACCTTTAATCCCAGCACTCAGGAGGCAGAGGCAGGTGGATCTCTGTGAGTTCAAGGCCAGCCTGGTCTACATAGTGAGTTCCAGGACAGCTGGGGCTACAGGGAGACCCTGACTCAAAAAGAAAAAAAAAAAAAAAAAAGCCAGGTGTGGTGGCACACAACTTTAATCTCTACATAGTGAGTTCCAGGCCAGCTCCACTACAAGGAGATCCTGTCTCAAAAAGATCAAAAAATAAATAATTAAATAAATAAATAAAATTAAGTTAAAAATAAAAAATACCAAATTTTAAGTATATCTACATCTTTATGTCTTTTATTGCTTACTTACTCTTTTCTAAGAGAGGGCTCAGTCTGTAACCCGGGCTGGCTTGAACTTGCTGAAATCCTCCTGCCTTGCATGCAGACTCACTATACCTATTTCTCTGTCTCTGTCTTCCCATTCTATTTTTTCTTTTATTTTGATACTTTGAATCAGAGTCTCATGTGGCCCAGGCTGACACTGAACTTGCTGTGTAGCTAAGCCTGGCCTTGAACTCCTCCCCACACTTCCCCAGCCTTCTGTGTCTCTGTAATCTAATCAATTTTATGAATGCAATGAACCAAAAAACTTTGCTTTGAGAAATGTGAGATGCCATCTCGTATTTACATTATGCAATAAATATGCCTTGAGCCAGATGTGGTGATGCACACCTTTGATTCCAGCACTCTGGAGGAAGAGGCAGGTAGGGTAGCTCTCTGTGAGATTAAGGTCAGCCTGGTCTACATAGCAAGTTCAAGGACAACTGGGGCTACAGGAGACCTGGTCTCAAAACAACATTTATTTTTATTATTTATTTATTTATTTATTTATTTATTTATTTTGTCTGTACTCGGGAGGCAGAGGTATGGGGATTGAGGCCAACCTGACCTACATAGTGAGTGCCAAATCAGCTGGGGCTACAGGGACAGGGACTCTGTCTCAAAAAGACAATAAACAATAAATAAATATCTTTTTGAGATAGGATATTCTGCAACCCCAGCTGTCCTGTCACTATGTACATCAGGCTGGCCAATCTGCCTACCTCTGAACTCACTATGTAGATCAGGCTGGCTGATCTGCCCACATCTGCCTCCATAGAGCTGGGATTAAAGGCTTGTGCCATCATGCCCAGCAGAAATTTTTTTTTGAGACAATGTGTCCCTGTGTAGTTCAGGCTGGCCTTGAATGTGAGATTCTCCTGCCTCATCCTCCCCAGTACAGCCAGCACAGCTGGCTGATACAGCAAACCCTTCCTGAATTAGTTACCAGTTTCCTCAACTGGATATGTGTGCACACCTCCATTTATCAGAAAAACTATTTAAAATACTGTTTTTAACATTTTGTTATAATCTGATTTGTTCATTAATTTTAGAAATATTTTATTTTTATGTGTATGAGTGTATTGCCTGCCTGCATGTAGGTGCACCTGTGTCATGAAATGCCCACAGTCAGAAGAGGGCATCGGATCCCCTGGAACTGGAGTTACAGACAGCTGTTAGCTGCCTCGTGGGTGCTGGGAACTGAACCCAGGTTCTCTGCAAGAGCAGCCAGTGCTAATAACTGCTGAGCTATCTCTCCAGCCCTCAGATTTATTTTTTATTTTTATTTTATGTGTATGTATGTGTGTCTGTGTGTATGCCTGCAGGGGCCAGAAGAGGGCGGTGGATACCGTGGAACTGGAGTTAGGAATGTTTGTTAGCCACCATGCAGGTACTGAGAACTGAACCTGGATCCTCTTCAAGAGCAGCCAGTGCTCTTAATAAGGACTGAGCCATCTCTCCAACCCCTTGGACCTTTTGATTTGGTTTGGTTTGGGTTTTTTTTTTTTTGTTTTTTTTTTTTGGTCTTTTTGGAGACAGGGTCTCCCTGTAGCCCCAGCTGTCCTGGAACTCACTATGTAGACCAGACTGAACTTGAACTCCTAGAGATCTGCCTGCCTCTGCCTCCCAAGTGCTGGGATTAAAGGTGTGCATCACCACGCCCGGCTTGGTTTTGTTTTTTTGAGACAGGGTCTCATTAAATAACTCTGGCCTGGAACTCACTATGTAGATTAGGGGCCTTCATCTCAGAGATCCGCTGGCTTCTGCCTCCCAAGTGCTGGGATTACAGGTGTGCAGTAGCACACCTGACCACCTGACCCTATAACTGGAGACCTTGCGTGCATGTGTGTGTTGGGGGGTGTGTATTGAGCTTGTCTCAGTGTCTGTCACAGTCCTCACTTCATGCTGGTGGTCTCTGGCTGAGAACTCACTAATTAACACTGAACGGAGTCTCCCGAGGAGGATTTACCTCTGCTTCCACAGGAGGCCTAGCTGAACAACCAGACTCAGTTTCCCCCTTCTGCTCTCCTTAGGCTACGTCCTGAGAATGCCCCTGCAGCCCCATCCCCTGCAGGTATTTCTGGACAATGATCTCTCTTGTTATTTCTGCATTTTTATCTTTTAGGGGATGGGATTGTTGAAGACTCCCCACCTCTCAGGAAGCACTAGAAGCAGAAAAACACTTCTTTATTCACAGAACGGGGAGAGGGCACTGAAGTTAGGAGTGCTCCGTGCTCTGGTAGAGCACCCGAACTTGATTCTCAGCAGCTCACAACTGCCTGTAATTCCAGCTCCAGGGCATCCAATGTCTTCAGACTTCTGAAGACACCTGCATTCATGTTCACATACCACCCCCTCACATACATACAAAGAAAAATTTTAAAAATAAATCTTGAGCTGGAGAATTGACTCAGTGATCAAGAACACTGGCTGCTCTTGCAGAAGAGCCAGGTTCGGTTCCCAGCACCCACATGGCATCTAACAACTGTCTGTAACTCCAGTTCCAGGGGATCTGATGCTCTCTCCTGACCTCCTCCATGGGCACTGCATGGCACAGGTGCGCTTACACACATGCAAGCACATGCAAGTGATATACTCAGACACATAAAATTAAATTAAAATTTTAAAAAATATTTTATTGCCAGGCATGGTGGCACACACCTGTAGTCCCAGCACTCGGGAGGCAGAGGTAGGCAGCCTGGTCTAGTGAGTTCCGGGACAGCTGGGGCTACAGGGAGACCCTGTCTCAAAAAGACCAAAAAAAATTTTATTTAGGGGACGGGGAAGAAAAAATTAAAAAATATTTTATTTAGTATTTTTATTTTATGTGTATGTGTGCATTGCCTGCATGTAGGTAAGTGCACCCATGTCCTGCAGTGTCCACAGAGGACAGAAGAGGCTGTCTGGAACTGGAGTTACAGTTGTTAGCTGCCACGTGGGCACTGGGATTTGAATTCTTCTACAAGAACAGTGT